AAAGTGGCTTGAGGCCATGGAAGATGAAATGAAATCTATGAATGCCAATAAAGTTTGGGACTTGAAAATAATTCCTAAAGGAGCCAAAACAGTAGGCTATAAATGGGTCTACAAAACAAAACTTGACTCTCAAGGGAATATAGAGAGATATAAAGCGTGGCTTGTGGCAAAAGGCTTTACGCAAAGAGAAGGCATTGATTACAATGAGCCCTTTTCTCCAGTCTCATGTAAGGATTCCTTCAGAATCATAATGGCATTAGTGGCACATTACGATTTAGAATTACATCAGATGGATGTAAAGACAACATTTCTCAACGGAGACTTGGAGGAAAATGTTTATATGGCACAACCGAAAGGTTTTGTCATGGAAGGAAAAGAACAAATGGGATGCCGTCTAAAGAAATCCATTTATGGATTAAAACAAGCTTCAAGACAGTTGTACTTGAAGTTTGATCAAACAATAAGGAATTTTGGGTTTAAATAGAATCTAGAGGACAATTGTGTCTATGCAAAGTTTAAGAATGGGAAGTTTATCTTTCTTGTCCTGTATGTAGATATCTTACTTGCTAGTAGTGATGTCAGTCTACTATTGGAGACAAAGAAGTTTTTGTCCTCAAAATTTGATATGAAAGATCTTGGTGAAGCTTCGTTCGTTCTAGGGATCGAGATTCATCGAGATAGAAGTAAATGGGTATTAGGACTGTAACAAAAGGCATACATAGAAAAGATCTTAAAGAAATTCAATATGCACAAATGTAGTCCCTCTCCTGCTCCTATAGTCAAGGGCGACAGATATGGGGATTTTCAATGCCCCAGGAATCAATATGAGATCGATCAAATGAAAACGGTTCCATATGCTTCAGCTGTCGGAAGCTTGCAATATGCTCAAGTATGTACGCGCCCTGACTTGGCATTTGTTACCGGGTTACTTGGCAGATTCCAGAGCAATCCTGGAACAGAACACTGGAAATTAGTAAAGAAAGTCTTGCGTTATTTGCAAGGAATGAAAAGCCTCATGATGACGTATAGAAGATCAGATTCACTCCATATAGTGGGATATTCAGATTCTGATTATGCGGGAGATGATAGAAAATCCACGTCTGAATATGTATTCACTCTCGTAGGGGGAGCTATTTCATGGAAAAGCTCAAAGCAAACCATCACTACATCGTCCACAATGTATGTCGAGTTTGTAGCGTGTTATGAGGCAACGGGGCAGGTGAACTGGCTAAAGAAGTTCATACCCGGTTTGAAGGTGGTTAACGACATCTATAAACCACTTAAGTTATACTGCGATAATAATCCGGCAGTACAGTATGGTCACAACAATAAGTCAAGTGGTGATGTCAAACACATTGACATAAAGTATTATGTTGTGAAAGATAAAGTCCGGGATCATGTCATAAGTTTTGAGCATATAAGTACCGAAAAGATGCTCGCGGATCCGCTTACATAAGGCTTACCACCCAACATGTTCAGAGAACATGTAGCCAGCATGGGTTTAAGGGAAAGCCTATAATTCCTAGACAAAAGAAGGCCCAAAGTTAAGTATCTATTTCATAACAGAGTGGTGTGTTGTAGTTGTTAAATCTATCGGCAATTGACCATGACGATGAAACATGCTCTATGCGCTAATCTGTAATAGAATGAACAAAAGTAAATGATATGAAATTGAAAGATGGTGAGATCAAGGGGGAGAATGTTAGTTCGATCTCCACCAATTTGCCCAATGGCCAATTGGGCCCTTGGATCAACGCCTTGATCGGGGACGTCCAACCACTCCATGGTTAGTGGGCCCCTGTCGCACAACACCATAAAGGGAGGTGGGGCCCAGGGCTCTAACTATGAGGTTGACCTGAGCCGCCGTGATCCACCAATAGAAAACCTAACCTGATCTAAAGAGGGTGCTGCCAGCGATGGGAAGACCCACTGACTTCGCCGTCACCACCGGACAGCGGCACCTCGCGTCACCGTCGCCTCTGCATCGCCACCACTACGCTGGACTCCACCGCGCCGAGCTCCCACGACACCGGCGTCCTTGCGGCTGCGGCGCAACTACGCCAGGGTGAAGTAGAGGAATCAATTTCTCCATCTAAGTAAGATGTTGATCCCTTGATCTACGTTTCAGAGGTACTCTATTCCCTTCACTGCATGCACTGCCAGAGATGAATTTGACGGCAACGGATTGATCTCCCCATGATGATGGCGCTCCATAAGCTTGAGAGGCGAGGGCGGCGGACGCCATGTAGGCACGGCCGGCGGCGGTCGACGGTGTCTTGGTGGAAGAGCTTCACGACCCTCGGGGTTTGTCTGTCCGAAGGCGTGATGGATCGGCATCGTCGACTTCGTGAGATGAAGGTGATCAGACTTGCTGGGAGACAGATGACAGAAATCCTGGGTGGTGGTGCAAACTTGAGAACCAGGCGATGGTGACATGCGGTGGAGCTCTGATGGATGGGCACTAAACGCAGAGCTGAGATTGGTGGCGGCGGCCATGAGCTCAGGCGCCTTTGGAGCTATGCTAGGGTTTGGAAACAGGATATATCTACATCAAGGCATCACGGTCGAAAGCTTCTCGATCTGATCCTTTTATAGCGCGGCAGGTTTGGGCTCAGAGGCAGAGTTGGAGCAGTCGGCGTTTGGTGCAGCAACATATGGGAGATGGGGAACAATTCTCCTTTCCTTCTGTCCGAGATGGATTAGGATTAAGATTCATATTTTCGGAATATTTAATTTCACGACTAAAAGTAATTCTAGAAAATCTAGAATTACTATTTCATCCACCGCCACGCCAGATATGGCTGATGATGTCGTCAAGGATTTCATCGACTCCTTCCGATGGCCCCTGCAGCAGCCCCTCGTCGCGTCCCCTCCTAGGGTGAAGGTGACTAGGAAGATCAACTATGACGCGGACGATGATTTCGTGCCCAAGTGCAGTGCTCGTCTAGCGGCCAAGAGTAAGTTCAGGGAGCCGAAACCAGAAGCTCAGGCAAGGAAGGTTATGATGAGGAGACTAGGCCTCGAAACACCGACGGAAGTCCTCGATGCGGCATCCTTTGAAGAGTTTCAACAAGCCTTCGCTTTGCGGCTTTCGCCCATGACGAGGGAGGCAATGGATGCGCTCGTTCGATTAGGCGGGGTATGAAGGGTGCGGCTGTGGCTGATGCGTAGATGAGCTTTAGCCGCCTCAGTTGCCCCGTATAGTACATTTTGATGGATTTGATTATCTAGTGTTCCGGTTATGCTGATGTCTCGCTAGCAAGAATGGAAACATTGTTGTAACCTTTTAAAAAATTCTCTTAATGAAAAACGGGTTAAACACCCGATCGAAAAAAAACTTTTAAGCCACGAAAAATACTCGAAAACTCCAATAATTCAGGAAATTTTCTAGAGACACTTTTGAACATGAGGAATCCAAATAAAGTATTTGAAGCTCATAAAAAGATATTTTGGAGCATCTAAAAATTAGATTATGCTCGCGGAAAAGTGGAAACGAGTTCCAGAAAAAGCCAGAAAAAAATCCGAGAAGTTTTGGGAGATAGTTTGATGGATGATGAACTCAAAGAAATGATTTGGTGCACAAGAAAAGGATCTCAGAACGAAAAGATTAGGATCAAGAGAGCACATGTTTGATTATAGAAAAAGACATAGACGAGCCGGAGAAGGATAAACAACTTACTAAACGCACTTTAAAACTTATCACAATCACAACACGTAGTCATGTAGCAAGCAACATCGCATCAAGCAAAAGCCCATCAAATTAATTCAGAAAAGTTCGGAGATTCATATTTTTCATATAACTAAATTTGCACTAGCTCTAATTGAATTTGGTTAATTCTATCCAAATATTAAAATCATTCAGTTTATTTAGTGCTTTCTATTCAGAACCCAAAATCAGAAATTTTGAGGCGTGACAATTAATCTTGCGCAAATCGCTGAATTGCATGTCCACAGTGCGCTACATACCTATGCGCAACAATTGCATTATCAAAGAAGAACTGCAAGATCGTGTCAAGCCATGTGGCCGGGTATGTACTGTGATGCTAATCAAGTATCATAGCCACGAGAAGGTAGTTGTTCCCTTTATGGTCACCATAGATGGAGAGTTGTGCCATATTTGTAGATTAGGTTGTTCACCTATAGTTGTCTTTGTTGTCGCTTTGTCTTCTATTTCTGTGTGCTCGGCTACCCCTGGTCGCAAAATATTTGTCTATAATAACAAAAATTCTGATAGTGATCCTTGAGAATCATCTCGCAAGGTTTGTGTAGGTCATGCCTTCTGATCGATGATCTTGGTAAGTCTAGGGTTATTAAGATCATGGATCGTTGCTGGTGTACTTCTCTCTTCCTCTTAACAAAGTACATGCTGGGACACATGCCCCCCACTTCCACCCCCGCCAAAAAAAAGACCCTAGACTAAGATTGAGCTAGCTAGTAATAGATAGATATATAAGTTCAGTGCAATATCATGCAAAGAGTATACAACCTGATCAGTTTATATGAAGCATCGACATTGGCTTGGATATAACTCAGTGAAAGCCATGTGTGTCCATCCATGTGCTATCAGTAGGACCACCAGATCGATTATATAATCCGTAAATCTCTGCGTGGTGTACAGATTTTCTAGAATAATTTGGAGTTAATTCAAATATATATGCTGCCTTCATCACACACGGATGGATCCATGGTCCATGCATGGAAGCACCACTACTACAGAACTGAATTTCACCACCGGGCCATCACCGTCGGTTGCTTACAAACCGACAGTGATACCCTTCACTGTCGATTCTTAAGTTGAAAATTCGAAAATGATTAGGCATCCTGAAGAGCCGACAGTGATAAAGCCACGAGCCGGCAGTTACACCGGAGACTCTAGAGTCTAGACTATACTAGACAGTCTGAACACTGAAGGCATAAACATAGAGTACATAACATGAGCATGTATGGAGAGAGGTCCTTCTTCAACTAGTTAAACTGTAAACAACGTACCCAATATATAATCACTGAAGCTCTGGGAAGACAAAAGTCTTATTGGACACGGTTACTTTCATCCCTGTCTCCGGGTACGGGTAGTTGTAGGTTATGGTTGGTGCGCACGGCTTGATGTAGACGCCAATGGCGTCGAGAAGCCGGCCGGAGCGTCCCCAGAAGCCAACGATGCAGCCGCTCGCAGCCGGAATGGAGAACGGCGTCGCAGTACCAGTCCCGGAGCCGCCATACGGGCCGTACGTCTTACCGCGGCTGGTGCGGAACGTCAGCGAAGTGACGAGGACGACGTCAGGGCCGTCGCCGAAGTGCCCGGTCGCCCCCTCCACCGCGGTGAGGTACTCCCCCGCAGACAGCTTGATCTGCACAGGAATTTACCCACACCGAGATGTAGTTTTGTAATCCACATGCATACATAGAAGAAGGAGGATGTCCGGGTCCGGCCGGCCCGATCGTCGTTACCGTGGCACGAACTCTTCTGGAGCCGAAGGAATGCGGGATACCCCATGGACCCGCCATTCGGACTCGCTGCTCGCCGTTGGCGTCTTCATCGTCTCCGGTGAGGGAGTACTCGCAGGCCAAGGCGTGGATGGCGGCGCTGGAATGGTACACGGTGATGGCACGAAGGCGAGGCACGCTGGTGCCGCGCATGCGGAATGGCTGGCCACCGGGTCCGCCCCATGGCCCCACGCTGATCACTCTCGGCTTGGGCTGGTTGCTTTGGTATCTCCTGGCCTTGGGAGTAGCATTGCTTTCTATGTCAACGCTTGGCCTGCAAGGATGCTGCTGCTTTGGCTGCATAGACCTTCTTCCAAGACGACGGCTTTCCATCACAACTTGCGCAGCAGCTTCAGCGCCGCCCCTTTCGCCGTCTCCCAAAGTTTCTGGAGAGGATCGATCGTGAGCAAACAACTGTCGTCGTGCGTATATATATATATATATATATATATATATATATATATATATATATATATATATATATATATATATATATACTCCCTATATGATCGTTGATCAGTCACGTACCTTGGCGACATCCTCGATGCCGTCGACGATGTGGAAGTTGTGGCTGATGACGACGCTGTCTGCTGCTGCTGATGCTGGGCTCCTTGCTGGACCTCCCCGGCCAAGCTCCAGGATTATCAGGAAGACAGAGATGTACACGACCACGGGAACGGCGAATGCGACGACGGTGAAGACGGAGAGCCGTGCCATGTCTTCCCTTTGCCGCCGGCCGGCCTGCAACGCGATGGATCGAGTTGGTTGCTTGGGCACAACACAACCAGGTTCGTTGGTGCACGGACGGCAGCACAACCGGTCTATATCAGGCTACACATATAGCTAGGCCGTCGCCATATGCAACTGATAATGCTATTATTCTTACAGCTTATTGAATCCACCTATATTTGTGGATTCAGCTTAGTTGTCAGTGTTGTCTTTGTGTCTGTCAATTAACAGCCAGCGCAACAATGTTGATGCTTGATAGGGACATCAAAATCCAAGGAAACAAGGCCAAGAAACAACACTACCAGAAGACGAAAATCACTGACGGTTGTTGGTTTCCCTGTCAGTTTACTATTATAAAGAACAAGGTAATAGTCCTGTCGGCCTTCAGAAATCGATAGAAAACGCTCATTTTATTCAGTCGGTTTAAAACTATAATCAGCAATATATAGTTAAAAACATCGGGAATTAGAAAAACACCGCTCACTACAGCTTTTTCAAAAGACGAGTAAAAGGTTTTTCATGAGATGGCTGACCTATCCTTCTTTCTTGGAAGGCCTACGTAAATCGCCAGCGCTTCTCCTTGCGCTGGCGGTGTCTGTCGGGGTTGTCGGGCGCGAGCACGCGCGCAACGACCTCAGTGGCCAGCTGACGTTCGTAGCGTGGGCACGGCGGTGCCTGCACCGTCAGGCAGGGTGGGCGACGAAGCAAGCGGCATGAGCGGCAAAGCAGGAGCAGGAGCAGCGTGGGGTGACCATCGACAGCGAAGCAAAGCTGAGCAAGGCAGCGAACGGGCGGCGCGGTTGAGGCGCCCATGGGGAACGCTTGAAAAGTCCTAATGGCTAGAGGGGGGTGAATAGCCTATTAAAATTTCTACAACAACACTTAACAAATTGGTTAGACAATTATGAGGCGAAGCAAGTGTTACGCTAGCCTATTAAAAATACAAGCCACCTACCACAATTCTAGTTTTTATAGTTTCTAACCACACAATAGCTATGGCACTATACTAAGTTAGTGTACTCTCAAAGACTAACTAAAGAGCCACACTAACCAAACTAATAAGCTCTCACAACTAGCTACACTAAAGAGGTTGATGACTAGTTTGCGGTAATGTAAAGAGATAGAGCAAGATAGTTATACCGCCGTGTCGAGGAGTGAACCAATCAATCATAAGAATCAATATCAATGAAGACCAATCACCTCAGAATCAAATGATGAACACAATGATTTTTTACCGAGGTTCACTTGCTTGCCGGCAAGCTAGTCCTCGTTGTGGCGATTCACTCACTTGGAGGTTCACGCGCTAATTGGCATCACGCGCTAATTGGCATTACACGCCAAATCCTCAATAGGGTGCCGCACAACCAACACAAGGTGAGGATCACACAAGCCACGAGCAATCCACTAGAGTACATTTTGGCTCTCCACCGGGGAAAGGTCAAGAACCCCTCACAATCACCATGATCGGAGCCGGAGACAATCGCCAACCTCCGCTCGATGATCCTCACTGCTCCAAGCCGTCTAGGTGGCGGCAACCACCAAGAGTAACAAGCGAATCCCGCAGCGAAACACGAACACTAAGTGCCTCTAGATGCAAACACTCAAGCAATGCACTTGGATTCACTCCCAATCTCACAAAGATGATGAATCAATGATGGAGATGAGTGGGAGGGCTTTGGCTAAGCTCACAAGGTTGCTATGTCAATGCAAATGGCTAAGAGAGTGAGCTTGAGCCGGCCATGGGGCTTAAATAGAAGCCCCCACGAAATAGAGCCGTTGCACCCCTTTACTGGGCACAACACGGGGTGACCGGACGCTCTAGTCATATCGACCGGACGCAGGACCCCAGCGTCCGGTCGTCCGATGCTTGCCACGTGTCATCGGCTTCAAACGCTGATCGCTCGATCTCAACGGTCAAATAATGACCGGACGTAGCAGCTCAAAGTGGCCGGACGCTGAACCTCAGCGTCCGGTCATTTCCAGTAAGCATCTAGAAACGAAAAATCATGATCGGACGCGTCTGGTCATGCTCGACCGGACTCACCCAGCATCCGGTCACTCAACGTCTCCTTTGTGCTGCCACGTCAGTGTGACCGGACGCACACTGCCAGCGTCCGGTCGAAGACCGACGCCAGCGTCACACTGCTTCCACTGACCGGACGCAGGACTCAGCGTCTGGTCACTACGTGACCAGCGTCTGGTCATAAGACCAAAATGCGCGCCCTCTGCTGCCACTGACCGGATGCGCCGGTCCAACCAAGACCAGCGTCCGGTCACTTACAGTGACCACCGTCTTTTCTGTATAGGGCGCCGGTGGCACCGTCGGACTGTCCGTGCACGTGTTAGCATATTTTCACAAATATTTTCAAGGGTGTTAGCACTCCACTAGATCCTAAATTCATATGCAATGAGTTAGAGCCGTCAGCGTTGTCATGACTGAAAGGATCAAGATGCCCAAGAGGGGGGGGGTTGAATTGGGCTAATTCTAAAATTCTTTGCAATAATTAAACCCTACGGTTAGCCCAATTAACCCTTGTGCCTAGAAAGTGTTTCTATTGAACTACTGCACAAAAGTTTAGCAACCTATGTTCTAATCCCACTCTAGCATGGCAATTCTATGAATGTAAATGACAAGAATTGAATTGCTCAAAGTAAATGCTCAAAGTAAAGAGAGAAGGAGGAACGCGGCGATGTTTTGCCGAGGTATCGGAGAGTCGCCACTCCCCACTAGTCCTCGTTGGAGCACCCGCGCAAGGGTGTAGCTCCCCCTTGATCTGCGCAAGGATCAGGTGCTCTCTACGGGTTGATTCTTTGACACTCCATCACGGTGAATCACCCACAACCGCTCACAACTTGAGTTGGGTCATCCACAAGCCCTCCGGATGATCACCAAACTCCCAATCACCACCAAGCCGACTAGGTGATGGCGATCACCAAGACTAATAAGCACGAACTATCACTTGACCATGACAAGCCTAATGAGAAGGGTGGATGCACACTTTGCTACTCTTGCTTTCACTAATGAGGGCTCTCTTTGGGATTCTCAAATCTCAATCACCTCACTAGGACCTGGCTCTTCTTGGCACTCTAAACGGTGTTTGTCAGCTGTTGGAATGAGCAAAAGTACCCCCTCACACGAATGGAGGAAGTATTTATAACCTTGGTTGAAAAACGAACCGTTATGTGCCTCTGCGGGGTGACCGGACGCTCCGGTCATGTTGATCGAACGCTCCGGTCAGTTCTCCCCGAACTCCAGTGATTAAGTGGTGACCGGACGCGTCCGGTCACAATTTTCCCTCTCTAGAACCTTACTGATGTTGACCGGACTCTGGAACCCCAGCGTCCGGTCACGTGCTGCTCAGCGTCCGATTAGTAGCCGGAACCTGACCACCGTCCGATCAGCACTGACCGGACACGTCTGATCAGGATTTTCCCTCTCTAGGACCTTACTGGAGTCGACCGGACGCTGGTACCCAGCGTCCGATCGCTCACCTCTCAGCGTCCGGTCGCACCAGACGAATTCACCTTGATCAAATAAACTGACCGAACTCTGCGCCAGTGTCCGGTCACACCGAAGCCAGCGTCCGGTCAGCATTTGACCCTCCATTCACTTCCAACTCGTGATCATATGTGAATGAAGTTTGCTCTAATTGATCTTAGGCATATTTATTAGCTACCTAGTGCTAGTTTTAACAAGTGTGCACCACACCTAACTCACTAGACTCACCTAGGTCAAGCTACCCGTCCATACCCCCCTTAATAGTACGGCCATAGAAAAAACAAAGTCCTAAACTACTCTAAGTGTCTCTTCAACACCAAACGACACTTAGAACTAGTCCATCCTTAACCTTGTCGTTCATCATTTGAAACCAAAACGATTTCTATCGTAGGAGCATGACAACCATGATTGCCCAATCAATCTCCATTATCGTGACCTAACTTAATTGCCTCTACAAAACACACGTTAGTCATAGTAATCATGTATTGTCATTAATCACCGAAACCCAACTAGGGGCCTAGATGCTTTCAATCTCCCCCTTTTTGGTGATTGATGACAATACCACCTCAAGTATGTGAAAGAGTTGAGGTTTTTAAACATGCTTGGATCGTATAAGCTTTTGTCAATAAGAACAAAAGAGTTAGGCAAGCTTATATGACCCAAGCCTACATGATGTACTCAATAGATATGAAATAAGCATGAGTACAAGAAATAAGGCTCATTTGCATCGGAGTAAAACACGGAAGCAAAGCAAATGAGCATAACACAAGTGATATGACATATAGATAATTCAAAGTAGAGAGCACACATGTCACATATCACATAAATATCACGATCACGTAGATATCACTATCACAAAAATATAGTTCGATGCATGAAAGTAAACACATGAATGCCTAATAGTGTATCACACATAAAAATCCAAATATAGTAGACAGACTCCCCCTAAATGAATCGCTCCCCCTAAGTCTAACATACTCGATCCCTCTCCCCCTTTGGCGTCAAACACCAAAACCTAAGGGTCAGTCGGCGGGGCTGCAGTGGACGAGTCGAGCGCTGAGGTACGAGGAGTGAGCTGGAACCGTGTGCCATCATCATCTGATCCAGAGCTCTGAGCTGTCTGACCCTCTGTAGCTGGAAGCGATGCTGAAGTGGTCTGGGTCGGATCAGAGACTGGTGCGGCCTGTGACTCTGAAGGTATGACTGTAGCATGCGGCTCTGATGATGCAACTGATGAAGGGAGCGTCTCTGTAGTCCCGGTAATAGGTGCAACAATGGAAGGACCTGGGACATGTAAATATGGTGAAGTAGGTTGCCCTATCAACTCACTGAAGGTGGCTCCAAGACTCCTGGAGACTGAGGTATCTGGCACAAGCAGCGAGGAAGTCTGGGCTGGTGTGAAGCCCGTCTGAAGAGGTGTGAACTACGGGGCTGGCACTGGCGAGGCAAACCACTGGGACACATGCTCTGTAGGTGAAGCAAACTGTGC